TGAAACTGGCATCAGTAGAAACACATGAGGTTCGGAGAACTTCGCAAACTCACCGTCCCTCTGCACATCCCACTGCTACATCCAGCATTGTAACCTTTTATCTGGATTAAGTGAGTCAGTCATATATCAACTCCTCACTTAAATTTCACCTTTTTCAGACAGTCAGAGAGATAGTGAACACATGTTCTGTGGGCAGATGAGTCTAGCAGCAGCCTTTAGAGAAAATCAGACACTGAGTTCTACGTGACCAAGATAAAACCATCCAGGCCGTTATCAGTGAAAAGTAGCAAAGCTTCAATATGTGATGGAATAAGGGTGCAGCAGTGGACAGTCACATGGCTGACTTGGTGAAGGCAGCATACAGCAGGTAAAATAATAAATTGATCTCCTGATTTTGGACGTTTGCTCACTTAAAAACAAATGAAAAGTTTGTATTTTTCTATGGTAGTTTCATTTTAATGGAGAGAGACACAATATGAACTAAAAATTCATTACACAAAAGTTACAAGTTGATTTAAGGTCTGGCTCCCACAGGTTGGTTATGTACACGTTTATTACGTAGATGATAATCAACTAACAAACCAACCTATCAACACATGCCTCAATTAACTAACTACCCAAATAACCGACCAATACACACATCAATTAACCATCTAACCAGTTAACCAACACGCACATCGATTAATTCAATTCAGTTTATTTATTTAGCGACAAGTCACAACAGAAGTCATCTCAGGACACTGAACAGAAACATCCATATATAAAAATAATAATTTAACATGGGAACAAACCAACACACACATCAATTAATCAACCAACCAACCAACCAATTAACCAACAGGTACATCAATTAACCAACCAACCAACACACATACATCAATTAACCAACCAACACATACACACATCAACTAACCAACCAACCAACCAACACATACACAGCAATTAGCCAACCAACCAACCAACACACACACATCAACTAACCAACCAACTAACCAACCAAAACACACATACATCAATTAACCAACCAACCAACCAACCAACCAACCAACCAACCAACACA